CTCTTTCCTCTAGGGTAGGAATTCCTACCCCAGAGATTCTGAGTTTCCATGTCCAAACATAGCACTCATCACACAGCACAGAAATTATGTTTAGAAGTCTGCTCCTCCCACTTAGTTGTGAGTTCCTTAAAGGACTGCATGAGAAAGCAAGAAGGATGCATAGAAATCTGGAAAGGTGGAGAAGAAATGGTCAGGAAAATTGGGAGAGGCAGCTCAAACCTCACCTGATGGTCTGTCCAAACCACTTACTTTGTGAAATACTCTGTACCTCTCTGGGCTCTGAGGACAGAGCTTCCTTTAGGGGCATGTTTCCCAAAGTACGGGACAGAACATCTTTAAATAACACCATGAGGCAGGCAGCCCTGCTCATTCCTTTCAATGTTTCTGATTTGGCTGGAGAAAAACACACAGCTGTGGTGACTAGTCTCACTTTAAATTCAAGACCACTAAGTCCAAATGGGTCCTTAACGCCACCCAGCAATTCTATATTTCTTCTGTTCACTCACCAGACTTTTTTTTTTTTGCGGTACACGGGCCCCTCACTGTTGTGGCCTCTCCCATTGCGGAGCGCAGGCTCAGTGGCCATGGCTAACAGGCCCAGCCACTCCGCAGCCTGTGGGATCCCCCCGGACCGGGGCACGAACCCGTGTCCCTTGCATCGGCAGGCGGACTCTCAACCACTGCGCCACCAGGGAAGCCCTCACCAGACTATTTCATGTCTTTCCTCTCTCCTCACACTCACTCTTGGCTGATCTTTCTTCTTATTTCACTGAGAAAACAGACACAACCAGAACACCTTCACCAAGTTCCTGCCACGCCTGCTGGAGTCAGTAATCATTTATGTTGCCATTCTCCCCGTTATTAGGGATAAACTGTGCTCCTAGGTAAAGCCAACCTCTCTCCACTTGGGCAAGAAATTCCATTCCTTCTTGCTTACTAAAATCACTCTGGAAAGTCTATCCTCTCTCCTGTTTCACCAATCTTTTCTCTCTTTACCAGTTTATAAATATCATCTAATTCCTCTTACAAAAAGAAAAAAAAAAACGAAAAAAACAACCCTTTCAACCCTCTTCCCATTTCAGCTACCACCCCACGTCCCCCCTTTCTAGGAAAACTTGCAAATAGTTGTCTTAACCCACTGTCTCCAATGCCTCACCTCCCATTCTCCTGGAACTTATGCACTCAGACTTTGACCCACCCACCCCACTCCTATAAATTGCTCAAGTTCACCAAAGAGCTCCATTACTTAAACAGTATTACACAGTCAATCATTCCTTCCCTGAACACCTTTGCTTGGTTTCCAGCATATCATTCTTTTGGCTTTCCTCCTATTTCAGTGGTCATTCCTTCTCAGTCTCTTTTGCTGATTCCTTCCTACCGCTTCAATCTCTCTAACATTTGCGTGCCCAGGACGTGGTCCTTTTCATCAACACACACAGGCTCCTGGCTTTAAATACCATCTACATGTATAACTCCAGTCCAGGGAGACTCTCAACTCTGGACTCATATATCCAACTGACTAGTCAACAATCTTACTTACATATCTAGTAAGCATATAAAAACCTAACATGCCTAAAACCAAAAACTTGACCCTCTGCCCCCAGGCTGTTCTTCCCACACTTCTCCATCTAAGAAAACTGGAACTCTGTCTTTCAAGTTGCTCAGGCCAAAATGATTAGAGTTATCACTGACCCCTCTTTATCTTATACCCCACATCCTCCTGTTACCAAATCCAGTGTACCCTACCTTTAATGAAAGTAGAATCTAATCACTCCTCACCACCTCCACTGTTACCATCCTGGTCCAACACATCATAACTCATCATTGCAACAACTTCCTGACACCTTCTATTTTCAACATATCAGCCAGAGTGATCTTTTTATAATCTAAGTCATATCATGTCACTTGACTGCTCAAACCTTCCAACAGTTTCCCATCTCAACCAGAGTAAAAATCCATAATGGACTATACAGTCTATACAATCTAGCCGCCTCTTACCAACTGACCTCATCTCCCCCCACCTTCCCCCTTGCGCACTCCACTCCAGCCACAACGACTTTCCACCTGTACCCTGAACACACTTCCCACCTCAGGGCCTTTGCACTTGGTCTTCCCTCTGCCTGGAAGATTCTTCTCCCCATTATACACATGGTTCACTCCTTCACCTTCTTCAGGCTTTTGCTCAAATGTCACTTTCTCAGTGAGGCCTGTCTTGATCATTCAGTTTAAAATTGCAACTTCCCTCAATCCCTCATCCCTGAATTTTCTCCATCACACTCATTATTATCTAACATACTGTTTACTTTGCTTACTTTATATTGTTTAGAGTCTGTCTCTCTCTACTAGGGTTCCCTGAGAGCAGAGACTTTTATTTGTTCTGTTCACTGCTGCATCCTCAGTGCCAGGAACAGTGCTGGAATATGGAAGTTGCTCAAAGGGCTATATGTTTAATTTGTAAACTGAGAAATTCTCAGTTTGCTGCTAGAATGTCTTCAATACTTAACACTTGCTAATCCCTTTTTAGGGCTCAGCACTTTAGCAGGTAAAAGCCTCAAGCAAGAATTTAGTAACATCAGAAACATTTAGTAACACTGAAATGTTTTGCTTTTATTTTATTTTAAAATTATTTTTATTTAAGGTACTGGACTTCTATTCTCTCTTATAACAGTTATTTTAAATTTTAACACACGTTTTTAACTTTAAAAAGTGAGCTGCTTCTAAGAAAAATGCTAAGAAATTATAGTGGGAACAGCAAAGAGACATGGCAAAAACAGTGAAAGTGGTATTTGAATGACTGGAGTTTAGGAACTCTCTTAGGGTAGGGTTGCCAGATAAAATAAGGACACCCACTTAAATTTGAATTTTAGATTTTTTTTTTAGTGTATGTTCCAAATATTGCATAGGACACACACTAAAATATTATTCGTTATCGGAAACGAGTTTTTAAATGGGCATCCTCTTTTGCTCCCCTAAATCTGGCAACCTTACCTTAGGAGAGCAAAGAAATTGCACCCTGCTCCTTGTCGCTTCCATTTTTCTCTACCAAAACAAGCTAGCTCTTGTCCTATCTACGGACTGCGTGGCTTTTATGCCTCAATAAACCTGTCCCTGTGGGAGAGTACTGAGGCCTGACGTCTGAAAAATCCAACTGGCAAAGGCCCACAGCGCACCTTGAGAGGGGAAAGGTTTGGCAGCTCAGAACAAGCAGTCCGGCCGCATCTGCTCGAGAGGGAGGGGGTTCCAGGCCCCTTTCCCAACCTCTCAGGCACCTGCTCTGCGGAGGCCGAGGCTTGGCAGCTACTTTCCGGCCCTTACCAATGTTGCCTTCGATGGAGAGCCTTCTGGGCCCGCGCCCCGCGTGTAGACCCCTGGAGGGGGGCACACCCTCGAGTGGGCTCTTAGCCATGGACTTGGAGGATGCTCGCAGCAGCCTTAGATAGGGCCGGCCGGCGATCATCTCACCGATGATTCACGCAGCGATCACTTCCGCCGAGAGCACTTCCTCCCACGGTGTTCACGCGCTCCGGCGCGCCGCTGACGTCAGGAGAGAAGTGGGTGGGTTGAGTTGGCTTGAGGGGAGGGGCCAAAGGGACCACTCTGTTATCGCGATGTTTGTAATAAAGTGTTGCAGAAAGGAAGACTCCTAATGTGGGGTTACGGGAGAGTTTAATGACAATTGGAGTTGGTACTGTGCGGTTCGCCCCTTCCGTTTCTGCCCGCTGGACAAACAACGTTTAAAACGACACATAAGTCAAGAATTCCATCACCTTTGCATTTTTGTATCGCTTTAGAATAACTTTCATAACTAAAGACAAATAAAAATAATTGTAATTTTAAACGAGTTTTTTTCCCCAAGTGTTTGTTGTCTGGCTTTTATTCTAACATGGGAAAAAATTGGACAGTTTTAAGTAGGAAAATGATGCAATCTGATGATTTACACAAATTAACTTTTTCCCATTCCCTGTAACTTGCACCACAATGCTGGCACCTTATTGAATAAATTAACAAATTAGTTTGTCAATTACACCCCACCTCTTATTTTGCCTCTTGAATAAAGTTCACTCAATCTATTTGCATAGTAGCCAAAAATTCCGTAAGAATAAAGAGGGTGGAGGCTTAGGGACTATGTATGGAACTCATTTAAACCAGATAGATTGGGTTCTGTGGGGTTGAACCATGCCGGGGTGAGGAGGTGGGGGGGTGGCTGGTGGGGATTCAGAATAGGGTTTGTAAAAGCTTGAGAAGAGCAAGGGCAGAGAGAGATTTGCTGGTGTATAGAACTGGAGTCTAGCTGTCCGTGGAGAATTGTGTTCTGCAGAGGGACAGGGACAATTCTGAGCTGCTGCCAGACTGGCTTTTTCCTGCCACACTCCATGGTCATAATGACTTCAGAACTAAGGATTTATGAAATATTGTCAGAGGGTGCGTCCACCTTCCCCGCTTGACTTCCACAAGAGTCAAACCAGGAGTTAACAGGCAATCCGGCATTCCGGCAGCACTCTTAGACATGGGAGTTTTTAGGAAACCAATCTGATTGCCAGAAGGTTTGGGGAGGGGCTGGTGGCTGGGACTGTTGTAGGAAAAAGTGGGGCACGAGAGGATGGTCATATCCCAGGTCTCGGGTGAGTCCCTGGGACAGGCTGCCAAGTGAGGGTCCTTGACTTCTCGCTGGAAAGAATTCAAGAGCGAGATATAGTAAAGTGAAAGGTTTATTTAGGGAGATACCCACTCTGTAGAGCGTGGGCCATCTCAGAAGGCAAGAGCACCAGAGGTGCGGGGGTGGTTAGTTTTTAAGGGCTGGGTAATTTCATAGGCTAACAAGTGAGAGGAATATTCTAACGTCTTGGAGAAGGGGTGGGGATTTCCAGGAATTGGGGCACCACCCACTTTTGGGCCTCTTTTGGTTGGCCTTGGAACTGTCATGGCACCTGTGGATGTCATTTAACATGCTAATGTATTACAGTGAGTGTGTAATGAGTCTCCAGGTCTACTGGAAGTCAGCTCTTCTGCCATCTTGGGCCTAGTAGGGTCTAATCCTGTTCTTCTTAATGGTTGTGCCATTCTTTTAATGACTGTGCCCTGCCCCCTTCCTTCCTGTCTCAGGGTAACTGTTTGCAGAGCAGGCACAGGACCTTTTTCCTATATTGTTGTTTATATGGGATGGCTGAAGTGACATTTATATATCATATTAAGCACAATCTATTAAAAAATAGATTGCAAATTTAGGATAAGCTGGGTGGAGCGCTAAAGGATATTGGAGCAGCTAAAGTCTGTCCCATCCCCCACTCCCTCCCCCGCAGCCACCTCTCTGTAGAAATACTACTTACATTTCTTTATCTATGTAAACTCTGACTTGGGAAAATATCCATCCAAAAAAGTTTGAGCGGCTGTCTGCACCCTTATGGTTTCCCTTGCCTTCATTGCCCTCAGGGTCACTGTGAAGGGTAAATATGGAAGTTGTTGGCAGGTTTAGGTGCAGACAGGAAACTAATCTGTTCCTAAAAGAGCACCTAAAAGTCATTTAAAAAAATTTTACAGTGAAGTACAATATATAGTGAAGAAAAGAGCATGTATTGTAAGTGTACAGTTTAGTGCAATTTTCACAAACTGAGCACACTCTATTACCCAGATTCGGATCAAGAAACAGCATTACCAGCATCCCCAAACCCGGGCACCCTGCGTTAGGAGCATGGAGTCTTAACCACTCGACCATGAGGGAAGTCCCCTTATCCATTCTACTCTTTTTTTTTTTTTTTTGCGGTACACGGGCCTCTCACTGCTGTGGCCTCTCCCATTGCGGAGCACAGGCTCTGGACGCGCAGGCTCAGCGGCCATGGCTCACGGGGCCCAGCCGCTCCACGGCACGTGGGATCTTCCCGGACCGGGGCACGAACCGGCGTCCCCTGCATCGGCAGGCGGACTCTTAACCACTGCGCCACCAGGGAAGCCCTCCATTCTACTCTTGATGGACATTTGAGAGTTTCTAGATTAAAGCTATTATAGATACCACTGCTATGAATATTCTTTTTTCTTTTATATAAATTTATTTATTTATTTGGTTGGTTGGTTGGTTTTGGCTGTGTTGGGTCTTTGTTTTTGTGTGCGGGCTTTCTCTATTTGCGGCAAGTGGGGGCTACTCTTTGTTGCGGCGTGCAGGCTTCTACATTGTGGTGGCTTCTCTTTGTTGTGGAGCACGGGCTCCAGGTGCGTGGGCTTCAGTAGTTGTGGTGTGTGGGCTCAGTAGTTGTGGCTCGCTGGCTCTAGAGAGCAGGCTCAGTAGTTGCGGTGCACGGGCTTAATTGCTCTGCAGCACGTGGGATCTTCCTGGACCAAGGCTCAAACCCGTGTCCCCTGCATTGGCAGGCGGATTCTTAACCACTGTGCCACCAGGGAAGTCCCGCTATGAATATTCTTGAATATTTCTTTGGTAAAGTTAAGTACACACTTCTCTTGGGCATATGCCTACAAGTGGAATTGATGTATGCTGGGCTTCAGTAGATATTCCCAAAGAGTATGCAGTTCCACAGTGTTGACTGTACCAATAGGCAGTGCCACCATCAGTGAGTGAGTGCTCTGCTTGTTCCACATTCTTGCCAACAATTGGTATTGTCAGCTTTCTTCATTTTATTCATTCTGCTGTATAATGGTGTCTTGCAGTTTTAATCTGCATTTTCCTGATGATTAATGAAATGGAACATTTTTTCGTATGTTTATTAACAATTTCAGTAACCTCTCTTGTGAAGGACCTGTTCAAGTCCTGTGCCCATTTTTCTATTGGCTATCTGTCTTTTACTTACTGTTATTGTTCTTTGTATATTCTGGATATGAGTCCTTTGTGAATATTTTCTCTCACTCTGTTCCTTGCTTCTAAAAGCTTTTACATTTGGGGGATGTATAGTGTAAAGTAAGAAACTAAAATGTCTTTTGCCTGTTAGTTATCCCACGATTATTGATGATCCTTCTACTCCTCTGTATTTCTTTATGCTTGTTTTATTATGTTTACCATGCATCAAAGTTCAATATCTTTCTTGATCTTAATTCCAAATTTCCAGGAGAGAGACTCTGATTGGCCCAGCTGTGGCCAAAAGGTAAGTTTTCAAGGAACAAATGTGAGTGTTGGAGCCCCACCCCAATGTGCACAAGGAAGGAGGGCGATTAAAGGAATTGTCCAGGGCAAGGGAGAAAATAAGGTGGTGATCAGTTCTTCCTGGAAAACAGCGGTATGTTGGTGAGCAGAATTACGTCCCACTTGCTTGGAGGAATAAGGTCACTTCCTGCTCCTGCAGGATTGTCAGATATCTGCTGGAGTTTATGAGTAAAGAGTTGATGTTGCCCCACAGGGACTCTAGTCCTTCAGCATCCATTCCTTCATCCAATATTTGCTGAGCATATGCTATGTACTAGACACTCTGCTTAGTCCTTAGAGAGAGCTCTGAAGTGCTACTGACAAGTAAACTGATCCGTGTTACCAAAATGCTATGCAACCATTAAAAATGGGGAGATAAACATACACAAATGTGACCCTGACTTTCTTCTGCAGCTTGGTGTCTGGTCAGTTATATTCTCATCTACATCAAAGATATTCTAATGTACTGGATTGTGCTAACTCAGTTTGGTTAAGCTGGGAAGTACGCTTCCAGAATCTCCTTCCTGACAGGGCTCTGAGTTCAAGTTGGTCAAAAGAGGACCTGGTGGAGATTTGGAAAGTAGAATGGGAACCTCAGCTGCTCTGAGGAGATCTCTGTTGTCAGATACTGTGACAGACAGATGTGCCCACAGATAGATCCCAGCAAGTTCTCAAGGCCTAGTGACTCCTCTCTGATCATCCCACAGTTCCCTTCAGACCTTCACTTCCCCAGCTTGTCCCACTTTTGGGCAGTCTCATTCCTGTAATAACCCCGTTATCCCCGTAATGTGCATGGTGGCTCTGCTCACCTGAATGAACTCTGACTGATAGGCCTAATCATAAAAGGAGGCATATAGGGAGTGGTTAAGAGTGTGGGCTCTGGATTCAGACAGCTAGAGGTGAGAATTAAGAAAGATAATCCACGTGCAGCATTTAACACATCTGCCACACCATTACCAACCAATAGGTATTACGTAATAAGTAAGGTAATGCTAACATTACTCAGTGCCTGGGATGTTATTTCTATTTAGTTGACTTCCTATTGAATTTACACTCTCCTCAAGCCACTGTAACCAATCCATGCTCTCCTCTCTACTAGCATATAATGTGACTTCCCCTGCAGAATTCTAGGACAGCACTTACTGAAGTGGGGTAAGATCAGGTGGGGTAGGGAGGGGAAAGACGGGTCATTCTCCCCTTCTTGCCCCACATGGAGATTCTGCCGTGCCCCTCCACAGCAGGGAGGGTCAGCTCTCTACAATGCCCTAACGGCATCTCTGTGCCTGGGCATCCTACGGCCTCTTCCCTGTGCTTTCCTCTCCCAATAGCCTGTGCCTGTGGCTCTTCTTTGCAGGACTGCCC